CCCCCCCTTACACACACCGCCGCAGTGGGAAACACAGACACGCCATCAGGCTGCAGGAATGTCAGGAATCCTGCAGCCGAGCCAAGTCCCGTCCACGCTCCACCAAATTAGGCCTATTAAGGTCTCAGACAGGCTGCCTCCAGCTCCGGGCCGGAGTTATGAAACCTGCAGAGGGAGAACCGGGCCAGGCTGCAGAACCCAGGTAGAAAAAAACCCCTGAGCTGGAGCCTCACAGTCTGAACACACTGAGATCATCTGTGGTTCTGCTCGGTTCTCCTGAGGTTCATGGAAATTTACCCGGAGAATCAGAATGAGTGTTTCAGGTTCTGCTGCTGCTGTGAGAGTCAGAAGGAACCAGTCGGGTCGGGACTTTAACTCCGTCCCAGTGGAAGCTTACCTCCCAGTTTGAGCCGCAGCTCCTGGATCAGCTCCTGTTGCTGGGGCAGCAGGGGGGCCGGGGGACCCGGGGGCCCCTGTGGTCCTGGAGGGCCCGGTGGGCCTGGCAGACCGTGCTGAGGGAGACAGAAAGAGAGCTTTATCAGAAGCGTGTGTCTGGATCAGCCTCAGGTTCTGACCCGGTGGGTCTCTTGCTGCAGGAGCTGGTTTTGCAGAGTTCTGACCCGGTGGGTCTCTTGCTGCAGGAGCTGGTTCTACAGAGTTCTGACCCGGTGGGTCTCTTGCTGCAGGAGCTGGTTCTACAGAGTTCTGACCCGGTGGGTCTCTTGCTGCAGGAGCTGGTTCTACAGAGTTCTGACCCGGTGGGTCTCTTGCTGCAGGAGCTGGTTCTGCAGAGTTCTGACCCGGGAGGCCTAAACATTGGCGCCTCCGGCAGCCAGTCAGAGTCCAGGAGATCTCAGACCTTCTGGACTTCTGGTTCTGGACCAGAACTCCGTCAGAGCTGGTTCTGGAAGATGCTGCCACCCTGCTCTTCTAAAAAGACCAACAGAACCAGAACCGGGACGCTGAGGTCCTTTCAAACCATCTGTCAGGCCTTGTGGTTCTGGTTCTGTTTCTCTGCCTGCAGGTTTCTGGGTTTGATCATCATTCGGACCTGATTCTGTTCCAGAGGAGAGCAGCGGGTCGACCCGCTGATCCATGTGGGTTCTGGATGTTCTTGTGTACCTGAGTGGTTCTGACTGACCTTGGAGGTTCTGCGGGAGCCTTTGGTTCTGCGGTTCTCTCCTTTGTTGGAGTTTCTCCTGAAGAGCAGCCAGGAGCTGCGAGGAGACACTCTGGACCCGTCCGATGGCGCCGGTTCCTGCAGGACAGAACCGGGTTAGTGTGTTTGGACCCAGACAGCTCAGAGGGTTCTGACCCGTTTAGACCTGTTCTGGTTCCCTGGTCTTTGAGCATTTAACTAATCACAGAACCAGAACCTGCCTGGTTCTAACAAGGAGCTCTGGTTCTGTCAGCAGAAGGAGGTGAAGAAGAAGAATCTGGGTCAGGTTCTGACTAACCCTGATCCAAACCCGGAAACCTGGGAACCAGAACCTCTCTGAAACAGGAACCAGGTGTTTCTCACCATCTCCTGCTCCTCCTCCTCCTCCTCTTCGTCCTCCTGGATCTCCAGGCTGGTTGCCTTCATCACCATCGTCATCATCAGAAGCAGCAGCAGCCTCCTCCCTGAGCAGAAGCCGCTCTTCATCCCGGCTGCAGGAGGAAGACTCTGTGATGAAGATGATCAGGGCGTTTTCATGGTGGAGGTTCTTTCTATCGGTGCTCCTCCTCCTCCTCAGTCTGAAGGCTCCTGCTCTGCAGACTCGGCTTTTATCCTTCCTCCTCCCTCAGCTCCTCCTCCTCCTCCCTCTATCTCTCCGTGGATCTGGAGCTGTCACTCGTCCGTCTGCGGGTTTGTCCTGAATGTCTCCTCAGCGTCTGCTGTCTCCCAGCAGAACCAGCTTTTCCTTTCAGCACCACAGAACCCAGACGGATCCAGACGGGTCTGCCTCTGAGGGCTGAGCTCCTTCTGCCTCCATCATTCATGGATCAACAGGATCTACACTAGTCAGAGGGGCAGAGGTCAGGAAGGGGCTCAGGGTTCTGGGATGGGATGCAGGGCTCCCAGGCTGGGTCAGACCGGGCCGGGTCGGGTCAGGCTGGGTCGGGTCAGGTTCGGCCGGGCCGGGTCAGGTCAGGCTGGGCCTAGTCGGGTCGTTGGTCTCTATCAGCTCCAGCAGATTCAGAGGAAACGCTGCCTCCTCTTTCATCACTCAGACGCTGTCATCATCCTGGCCACGCCCACCTTATCAGTCAGCAGCAGACCCGCCTGAACCTCTCCACGGCAGACAGGAACCAGGCCTGATCCCATCTGGAGGTGAATGTCATCAGCCTCAGGGATTAAGCTTCTCCTGAAGTTCTCCTAGAACTTCCAGAGATGGTCTCCAGAACCGAGCCGAAGCAGCAGAACCTTTGGGCTGAAGGTTCTGATTCTTCAGCAGCTTTTAACGTTCACCAAGTTTCTCTGATGCTTCTGGTTCTGGCTGAGAGGTTCCCTCAGAGATTACTGAAGATCAGCTTATCCTCATCTAGTTTCTCCTCCTGGAAAAACATCCTGATTGGCTCAGAGAGGCTGTTTCCATGGTAACACATGAAAGCTCTGTTTGGAGGATTGTCCTTTGAACCAGAACTTTAATCTGAGGAGAATATTCTGAAGACTTCCAATCCTCTGCGCCCTCTGCTGGACAGAAGGACGCACTGCAGGCCTCAGATCAGAAACCTTCATCCACATCAGATGAAGATTAACCCTTTGATCAGAACCAGGAGTTCTGATCAAAGGGTTACCATTAGGCAATACTAGGCAGTTCCCAGGGCCCCAAGTTCCTGGGGGCCCAATAAAACTCTGTTTCCATCCTTATTTCTGTACATTAAATATGTTTT